CTGGGTGCCAGGGCCTGGCAGTGCCTGGTGATGCCGAGGCACCTGGATAGCTAGGCTCAAACTTGATGCCTTCTGAGACACCAAGTCAATCTTAATTTTTCTCTTCTTCATTTATTTATTTTGCTTTTTGGGTCACACCTGGCGATGCTCAGGGGTTACTCCTGGCTCTGTACTCAGGAATTACTCCTGGCAGTGTTCGGAGACCATACGGGATGCCGAGGATTGGACGTGGGGCAGCCGCGTGCCAGGCAAACGCCCTCCCTGTTGTACTATCTCTCCAACCTGAGTCTTAATTTTCCAGTGTGACAATCTGAGTCACCGGGGAGAACACCCAAAGTAAGAAAGGCAGGGTGGGATGGGGGTATGGGGGGCTGGAGGGATACTGGGACCCGTGGTGGTGGAGAATGGGCACTGGTGGAGGGATGGGTACTCGATCATTGTATAACTGAAACCCAAGCACAAAAATTTGTAAGTCTACAACTGTATCTCATGATGTTTCACTAATAAAAATTAAAAAAAAAAAAAAAACCAGACTGGCAGACCAGCATGAACCACTGCACTGAATTGGAAACTTGGGAGGGGGGAGAAATTGGAGAACCTGGCTCCGGCTTTCTGCACCGCAGGGCCTTGGGCCTCACCAGGTGGCGCCTTTCCATGCTGAGGAGATGAAATAACCAAGTCTACCCAGGACTGCTGTGTGCATGTGTGTGTGTGTGCGCGCCTGTGTGTGCCTGTGTGTGCACGTGTCTGTGTGCCTGTGTCTGCATGCGTGTGCGTGCATGTGTGTGCCTGTGTGCACGTGTGCTGTGCAGATGTCAACTCTTCACGTGCCTATGACTGCTCCTTCCTCCCTGTCCCACAGGTGTGCTGTGACCCAGGTCCCTGGGCTGCAGAGGGTGTAGTGGGCATGTGACACGTGCGGGTCCTAGAGGGGCCTGTCCAGGCAGCGTCTCACAGGGCCCCGAGCTGTGGGGAAGCCCCGGCCTGTCCAGCCCCGGGCCTGCACGCCTGGGATCGGGGGGGAGGGGGTCAGTGGCCAGTGGGCGCTGAAGGTCAGGGGCGTTTGGAAGCCTGGGGGTGTTTCTGAACCAAGACTCTGCTGTAGGAACTGATTCTTTATTGATGCCAAATAGCTTGCGGTCAATTGTTTCTCACTTTATGTCATTTTGCTTAAAGTCACAATTCCTGGAACCAACTTGCTTTCATGTGTGAAGCCCTGGTTCAATTCCTAGCACTGCAAACAAAATAACAAAAAAGAAAAAAAGTAAAAAAAGAAAGAAGGGGGGGGCATCAGCAAAGTTTTCAAGAACTATCTGTAACATTGAGAACTAAATAGACCTTTTTAAATACTTCTGAGTTATTTCCAAGTATGGTTGCTTTTATAATTTTGAAAAAAAAAAAGCCATGTAAAATTCTGTTGATTTTAGAAGAAAGATGGAGGAAAGAGACATATTTTTTTTTCCTTTTTTTGGGAGGGTCACACCCAGCAATGCTCAGGGGTTACTCCTGGCTTTTGCACTCAGGAATTACTCCTGGCGTTGCTTGGGGGACCATATGGGATGCCGGGGCTCGAACCTGGGTCAGCCGCGTGCAAGGCAAACGCCCTACTTGCTGTGCTATCGCTCTGGCCCCAAGACATATTTTTTTAAAAGAAAAATTGCCTTTAAAAAACTGATGTCAGTTGAAATACTATTAATTTTTGATAGTGCATAGATTAATAATGCATAGACAGAACAGCAAGCATTTATCTGTTAGCTAATATTTCATCATATGCATCCAAATGTCCATCTTAGTCCATCAGATGCAGTTCTAAGGCGCATTTTGGCTGAGCTCAGAGTTGTGAAAGTGATGCTTATGTGTGTTCCACGGGCTTTGCAGGCCTCGAGATGCTCCTTTAAACTAGTGACATCAATAAAATAAGCCACATGCTCAAAACACTTCAGTTCCCCCCAAAATCACATGTGCTGCATACCTCTGATGAGGAGTTATTGTGGCATGAACGAAACGCACCATGGATCATAATCCAGCTGTACATAAACTTTGGTTTGGTTTGGCAAAGCCGGAAGTGACCCCACCCTGGCCCTCCACACTCAGGAAGAGCTCACAACCAGCCCCAGCTGCCCCCCGCATCTGGAGAGCACCCCTAACTCTCATCCCTCACCATCCCGCCTTGGCCACAGAGCACGGGAGCGGAGAGAGCCGCAGGAAGGATTTTTGCTTACTGATGCTGGCCCGCACCGCTGAACAGAGAAACCATCCCCTGAAACAGCTGAGAGAACAGCCAGGTGGGACGACAGGTAAGGTGTTGTACACCAAGCCTCGGGGTTAGGCGCCAAGGCCGGGCTGCCTTCTGCATGAGCCACCGATATCCATGGCGCGTAGTTGAAAACACCACACTTCCTGCATCCTCTCGGTGGCTCCCATCTCTTCCCAGGCTCACCACGGAGCCTGGGAACAAATCAGAGAGGAGAGCACTCGAGTGGGGCAGATGGAAACACAGAGAAGGAAGAGGACCTGGAAACGACAGACGTGTCTCACAAGTCTCCCATCTCTCCGAGCATTTAAGCCACATCCACCATGGCTGCAAATACCCTGATGCGATTAATTTTCATTTCCCCGTGTGCTCTGCACCTTTCTCATTTATTTATTTTTATTCCAGACCCACCATTATTATTTGGGATTTTACCCCAACAGTCAGATCTGCTGAAAGGCAACAGTAGAAAATTTGTTTTCTATTGCTGGTTATAGGGCTGGAGTGATAGCACAGCTGGTACGGCATTTGCCTTGCATGCAGTCAACATGGTCGACATGAATTTGATTCCTCTGCCCCTCTCGGAGAGCCCGGCAAGCTACCGAGAGTAACTCGCCCTCATGGCAAAGCCTGGCAAGCTCCCCGTGACGTATCCGATATGCCAAACACATCAACAACAAAGTCTCACATTGGAGACGTTACTGGACCTGCTCGAGAAAATCGTTAAACAATGGGAGGACAGTGCTGGTTATTTTTTTGCTTTTTGGGTTACACCTGGTGATGCACAGGGGATACTCCTGGCTCTGCACTCAGGAGTTACTCCTGGCTCTGCACTCAGGAGTTACTCCTGGAAGTGCTCAGGGGACCATATGGGATGCTGGGAATTGAACCCGGGTCGGCCACGTGCAAGGCAAATGCCCTACCTGCTGTGCTCTCGCCAGCCCACCTTTGTCGTTTTTAACACAGGACACAACACCAGGCTACCACTTCACAGCAAAAGAGGCCAGCAACACTCTCTGAGCCCTTTAGATTTTCAGATTTTAAAAACATGATAAAGTAGTTTTGCGGTTTTAAATGATGAAGACAATCCATGCATTCTTCCCTTTATTAAGTAGAATAAGAAAATGACCTTCCTTTTTCCCGAAAACATTAAATTCTCTCTCTCTCTCTCTCTCTCTCTCTCTCTCTCTCTCTTGGTTTGTTTTTGGGTTGCAGCTGGTCATGCTCAGGAGTTTCTCCTGGCAGGGCTCGGGGGTCCATATGGGATGTCGGGGATTGAAACCAGGTGGTCTTCATGCTAAGGTATGCCCTACCTGCTGTACTATCTCTCCAGCTCACAATTTAACGCATTTTTAAATAGAAACCCTGAATGTCGGCCCCTCCGACAGATGTAATACACGCATGAGACACAGGAAGATAAACAAACCCAGGGTAAAATAACAAGAGGCAACACTGTCTAAGATTCATGAACTCTAGCCCCATCGAAGTTTTTCATTACTGTTCTCTGGTCTGGGGTCCGCGAGCTTCCTTCCAGCCGGATGGGGAGGGACCGTGTGCTGCCAGGGTCAGACGGGGTGGGCCAGGGTGAGGCGAGCACCGGACACCCCTGGACCATGTCCCTAGCCTAGTTTGACAGCCGAATGCAGCTTCACACTGTAGCTGTGACCCCGATGTCACGTGTGCCTTGCCTGATGGCACAAAATGCCTCCCACTGTTCCCTGCGCAGCACGAGGCGTAAGAACCTGCCGATGAAGCGAGGCTGAAGCCTGAACGCCAACGAAGAGGGGCAGCTGGGAGCGCCCGCAGGACTGTGGGGGCAGGCTCGAAAGCGCCAGGGAAGGGAGGGATGGAGAAGGCTAAAGGGACAGCATGGGGTCAGCACTGCAGCAGCGGCTAGACTGGCATGGGTCAGCACCATGGCAGCAGCCAGATAGGCACGGGGTCAGCACCGTGGCAGCGGCCAGACGGGCACGGGGTCAACACCAGGGCAGTGGCCAGACGGGCACGGGGTCAGCACCGCAGCAGTGGCCAGCTGTCAGCCTTGCCCTCCTGGCTAGTGTCTCTGAGTTTCCCCACCCTGGCCCCTCCCGACCTTGTTCCCTTCCTGCTCCCCCCACCTCCCAGGGAGCCCCATTTACTCCATGTTCAGCCCGTGGGACACCCCGGTCAAGAAGTGCTGTGGGGTGAGTGTCTCCTACAAGCTCCGAGATGTGGGCAGCGCGCAGGGCCAGGCAGGCTGAGGGAAGCTCAGAAGAAGGCCCCAAGTTCCGCCCAGTCACCCCGGAGTCTGCCCATTCCGTGTGGAGCCAAGAGACTGCAGAGACGGAGACTTGGCGACATTGACCCGTCCACTCATGCAAGAAGGACTAGCAGGGCCTGCCTGGTCCCTTCCTGCCCCTCCTGGGCTCAGCGTGGGTTCTGGGAAACAGGCCTGGGATTCTTTCCTTGTCAGGCAAGTGAACCAGACCGACAGGGAAGGAGGCGGGGCAAGGGAGTCCGAGGAACAGGGAGGTGCAGCTCGACGAGCCCCCAGAGGGGAGGTCCAGGCTCACTCCTCCCCTCCCCTGACCCCCGTGGCAGGGCACCTCAACGCTCAGCCATGCGGCCCTCCACGTCCACGGAGAGAGAATACACATCAACACACAGACTGGGACCCCCAGACTTCACTTCATCCGGTGTCGCCTTTAAATGAGAAGAATTCAAATTCATGCGACTGTTTCGTGCGGTTTCTGGAAATGCCGAGACTCACCGTGAAGCTTGGAGGCGTCGGGGTCATCCACATTGATGGCAATTACTTTCCAATCAGTCTCACCCTCATCAACAAGAGCCAGAATCCCAAGGACTTTGACGCGTATGACCTCGCCACGAGAGAGCACCTTTGAAGAGAAAGGAAATGACACATTCATTGGGTGTGTGTTTGAGGAGCTCACTCAGAAAATAAAAATCAAGACCGAAGATTAAAAAGCAGCAGAATGAAATTTAGTGAAGGTCAGATGACAGAATAATGTAGAATGAGAGGCTGGAGAGAGAGCACGGCAGGGAGGGCGCTTGCCTTGCACACAGCTGGTCCCCAGGTTCAATCCCCAGCACCCCAGATGGTCCTCCAAGCACGGCCAGGAGTAATTCCTGAGTGTAGAGCCAGGAGTAAGCCCGGAGCATGGCCGGGTGTGGCTCAAAAACAAAAACTATGACAAACCATCATAGGTCTTTTAATGAGATCCTTTTTCAGATGAAAGTATCTCGATCCCTGTTCGGGAGGTGCAGTTACTTATAAGCTTGACAGATACGTATGGGTCCCCGACATGCACACGCAGGAAATAACGCAGCGTGTCATCACGAGAGAAACTGGGTATCTTCAGCTGGCCGTGAGGAGGCCGAGAATCCTCACAGAACATCCCACAGAATCTTTCTTTGCAAACCAGCCCTCGGTGACTGGGGAAGTAAAAGCTCTCTGTCCTGGGGCACGCCTAAGACGCCGCCGGTGGGAGAGCTGTGGCACAAGGCAAGACACAGCCAACCAGGCTCCCGAAGGGCCTCAGAGACTCTAGGGGAGCCCCCAGGGGCCGGAGCCGGTGCAGAAGGCCCTGTGCTCAGGGGGGTTCTCCCCGCATCCTGCAGCACTTAAGACACACACAGCCTTGCTCCAGGCTGAGTGGATCAGAGAACTCTACCGCAAGATCACACTGGAACGCATACTTCTGTAGAAATTCCCTCATGAGCCAAAATGCAGCTTTTCATCTGGAGTGTGAACGTGGAGCAGGAAGTTAGCTCGGAACCTGGCTAGGCCATGAGATGGGCCGGGTCAAGCCGCTTCTGTACCCGGCAGAGCCTTGAGAGGGGCCAGGCTGAGCCACCCGGTACCAGGCAGAGCCGTGAGACAGGACTGGGCTGAGCCACGTTGGTACCCAGAGAGAGCTGTGAGACGGGATGGGCTGAGCCGCCTCAGAACTCAGCAGAGCCACGAGATGGGCTAGGTCAAGCTGCCTGGTACCGGGCAGAGCCGTGGGACGGGTGGAGCCGAGCTGCCTCAGTACCCGGCAGAGCTGTGAGACAGAACGGGCCAAGCCGCACATGGTTCTCGTGGGAGTCACACAGGGTCCCGGGCAGATGCACTACTGTGTGTATGAAGGAGAATCCCTGTTCACAAGGCAGGCCGCCCTGCGCCAGGCGATCCCTTAGAAAAAGGAATCTGGATTCGAGGGCCAGGGAATGGGGAGTCTGGGGGCACTGAGATCCTCTCAGCCGAGACGGAATCAGGCCCCGTGGGCTCCCAGCCAAGGGCAGTTGCTCAGCCAATCTGGTGCCACAATGGGATAGTGCCATAGTGTAGGATGACATTGCTTTGTCCTTTCTCCCTTTGTCCACAAGGAACTTAGGTTTATCAGGTTACACTCATCACAGTGCTCCCGAATCACTCCCATTCCTTCGTTTATCTTTAACCACTTCTCTCTGCTCTCCTCCCCAACCAGTTAATCAGCTTTTCCCCCCTAATCAGTATCTGTTCATTTGTAAGGTCAGATCCTTCTAGGACACTGAACTTGTATTCTAAGTTAATACTGCCTTTCTCCTCTCCTTAAGTCTTTTGAATAGTTTACTTTAAAGCAATGTCCTATTTGTATAGATACAGGAAGACTTTTAATATTATGCTTTGTATCTTAGGATTTAATTGGCTTTGAATATTATTCACTCCCAGGCATCTGCTTTCTCGACTTAAGCCTCAGTTGCCCTTAGTTCCTAGCACCCCAAAAGCAGGGTCCCGACGAGGGACTGAATGGACCCAGGGCAAGTGGTGAGCTACCCTGGCAGCGAAATGGGCCAGGCCAAAGTGCCATGATTCTTAACTATAAGTTAAGAGCTTTATCATAGACAAATGCTGTCACGATCCAAAGGTAACGACGAGACTAGGTCCCTGCTAGGAATAGTAAAGATTATTTGGCCTGAGCACTGTAGTCTGAGATTGAGATGGCCCTAGGAGAGCAATTCTATAAGTTTAAGGTATTTCTTACTGTATCCATACAAAATGATTTATATTATGAATACTTATATGTTTGTTGGACAAGGAGAGGAGAAACACACCCACGGGATTCTGCTCTAGGGTGGGTCGTTCCTGCTGAGAAAGTATCTGTCCTAGAAGCGGCTATCCTCGAGGGAAAGAATTCTACCCCTATTGATTGTGACCACACCTATGTGTAATTGTTACCCCAACCCCTCATGCTTTGGGGCTTAACTAGACTGGGAGAGTGGGTTGGGGGATCAGAATTGAGACTCCAGAGAAGGAGGATGAAGGGGGATAGAGAAGGAGAATGAAGTAGCATGGGGAGGAAGAAGCAGGATGAGAATCAGAGGAGAATGGAGATGGGAATGGAGTAAACTGCAACTAAGACCAACCAGCCTGGCCCTCGTTCCTTCCTTTGCCTGCCCATCGCCATCGACCTCCCTGGGGTGGGGGAAGCGGCGTGAGACTACTGAACGCTGGCTGCGGGACAGATAGACCGCTGCCTCTGCTGTGCTCTTTTTGAGTTTACACACCATAGCATCTGTCCCACATGTCTCCTACCACCAGTGACCCAACGCAGCTGTTGGGGTCGGCGCTCAGGCCACAGACGCAGGTGCCGGCCCATGAGGATGGTGAGAGCCAACACAGCGTCTCAAAAGCACACCCCACGTGGTCTGACTTGCACTCACAGTTACTACTGTGCTTCGCAGTTTCATGAAAAGTCACGAGCAGATCTGAGATCTTTCTGAGTTTGTGCAGAAAGCACGTCCGACGATGACTGGGTTTGACCAGGGGACAGAGTGGAGCTCAGAGGCAATGGAAAGAAACAGCTGCTTTTAGATGGATTATTGCCTCGCTGAAGCTCCTCTAAGTATTAGAAATCAGAAAGGAAATTCAATCAAACCAAAAACTTGGGACAAGATACTCGGAAACCAAAGGTTAAAAGTCCTGAGCTTCACCGCTTAGCTCAGTGTGAGTGAGTTTCCACCAAATGGATGACGAGGAGTAAAGCACCAGCAGTGTCCGCCTAGTGGGGCCCCTCAGTAGGAGGGCTCAGGAGGGGCAGCAGTGGCTTCCTCTCCCCCTAGAGCCACCTCACAGGTGGGCAGGCCGGTGACGGAACACAGGAAGGGGGTGACTTTCAGCAGGGACTTGTGCTTTGATTTCAACTTGGAAGAAAGGAGAGAGAGAGAGAGAGAGAGAGAGAGAGAGAGAGAGAATGGATGAAACAATGACGAAATAAAACACAGCCATGTAGTGAACGAACCACAACTACCCACGTGGACTCTAGCTTACACAGCCATGGCAACAGATGAATCATAACTACCCATGTGGACACTGACACAGCCACGGCAATGAATGAGCCACGACTACCCACGTGAACACTGACTCACACGGTCGTGGCAACAAATGAACTGCAACTACCCACGTGGACTCTAGCTTACACAGCCATGGCAACGGATGAAGCACAACTACCCATGTGCACACTGATTCACATAGCCACGGCAATGAATGAGCCACGACTACCCACATGAACACTGACTCACAACCCCTGTTCTGAGTGAAAGGAGCTGTGGCCACGTGGTTCTCCATGCTGAGAGCTGGTCTGACACCGTTAATCTGACTAACTCACACAGCCACCCATGTGGACACTGACTCACACAGCTATGGCAATGGATGAACCACAACGACTCATGTGAACACTGACTCACAACCATAGTTCTGAGTGAAAGGATCTGTGTCCACGAGGTTCTTGATGTAGAGAGCTGGTCTGACAGCGTTAATCTGTGGCCAGAGAGCTCAGGACAGGGACGTCCTAGGGGCCGTGGGTGGTCCTGGTTCTGGTCATTTCCTAGCATGTGATATGGATGCGGAGAGTCAGTGAGCTACACATTGATGATGTGTAAATTTATGAATGCCTGTGAATCTAAACGTTCAGAACATGAAAATAAAGATTTGTTCTTTAGGTGGGGATTAAGAAATTATTTCAGATGCAGTAAACACAATTTCAGAATCATTAACTTCAGGGGTGACACCTTCCCATCCCATTAGAAAGCGACTAGTTGGCTCTTCAGGAGGTGGGCGCAGCCCCCGTGAGAAGCTCTACGGACGAGCCCTGTGCTGGGATAAGCCGAGACTGAGGTGGGACAGGGGCCCAGGCTCGGCAGACCCAGGCTCCCAGATGTTTCTCTGGTGATGGTCTTTCTTCGTCTCCAACCCCATGGCCTGGCGTGCTCACTGACATTCTCAGACGACAGGGACAAGGCATTTATATTAAATCTTTACTCACACTTAATATCTGCATGAAGATTTAAATTAATTTAATAATTTACACCAATTATGAGCTGAGTGGCCCCAGGGATCACACCCTTGAGGTTATGGAGATTAAGTGGCTTTCTAATCTTGCCGTGATGTCGGGTTATTTAGTGGATCATGAAACACGTCAGAAAGTACGTGGGTTTTTTTTCCCCCCTTCCTGCTAATCTATTCATTTTATACATACTTTACTGCCTCTCTAGGGAGAAAATGCCCGAAATAAATAAACTGCTAAATACGAAAGCAAACAACTAGGCTATATTTCGACTACAAGGTACAGGAATCAGTCTTCCACATGGAGTTACCCGTGCAGGGGAGGAGTGAGAGGGGGAGGAGAGGAGAGGAGCAGAAGGAAGAGCAGAGGGAGAGAAAGAGCAGGAAGAGAAACAGCCAAGGCAGGGAAAGGCTAGAGGGCAAGGAAGAGGAGACGAGAATGAGGAGCAAGAGAATGAAAAGGAAAGCTTGTCGGGAGTGTGGCGAGAGGGTCCCAGAGGGTCAGGGGTTGGGAGTGTGGGAGGGGGCGGTGACAGAGGGTCAGGGATCGGGAGTGTGGCAAGGAGGGTGACAGAGGGTCAGGGGTCTATTCACTGCATCAATTCTAGAAGTCTAAAGTGCTCCTGTTAGTTTCAGAGAAAAGCATTGAATCTGTTTTTTTGGGGACAGGGGCACACTTGGCCATGCGCAGGGTCACTCCGGGTGCTCGGGGACCACAGGGGGTGCTGCTGTGAGCGTGGGTGGCTGCAGCGAGGTCAGTGCCTGCCCAGAGCCAGCAGGGCCGGGAGTGGCCAGCGCCAGTGGCTGCCCTTCGGGAGAAGGAAATGCCATGGGCAGAGCGGGCAGCGGGTGTCCAGGGAGCGTGGCCCCTGGAATTGACATGAGGGGCCGAGACTGTAGAGGCAGGAGCATCACAGCTTCGCGTGCTGCTGGGCAGGATCCAGGGGCAGGGCCAGGAGGCGAGCCCGCAGGGATGCAGCCGCTGAGGGGGAGTGTGGGGTGGACACGGGATCCCACGGGCCCGCGGCCGCTGTCCGCTCAGGCTGGATGGGGCAAGGCAGGAGTCTGCACCCCGCGGTGCTGGGTGGGCCCGGGCACGAACCCGGAGAGCCTGGGCTCAGGAGTGGGGAGACCAGGGCTGGGCTTCACGAACCTTAGAGCCGATCTCACAGACGTCGATGGGGTCGTTGTCTCCACAGCAGTCCGTGTCCTCGTCCTTCTTCTGAGGGTCTTCCCAGGTCTGCGGGCGGGAGGGGGCTGTAGGTAACGCCAGAAGCACCCAGGGGAGCACGCACGCAGTCGGGGCTGGAACAGACACTGCAAAAGCTCAGGGACAGCAGGCAGGGCTGTCCTGCCGAGCGGACTGACCCCCGGCACCCCGCATGGTCCCCGAGCCATTGAGTCCAACCAATGCAGTTGGTCTCTCCCACCCCGAGACCACACGTTTTCCGGAGAAAAGGCGCACAGACCAGTGGGTGACAGTAAGTGTCCCCGCAGCAGGTGCTGTTCCAAGCAGACTGCTCCCTGTCCCTGGGACTGACATTTATTCTCTAGGTAAACACTGTGCCGCTGAGTTGGGCAAAATGAGTGCCTCTTCTCTCAGAGACTGTTCTCCCCCTGCCCCCCCACCCATGGCTTGGGATTTCATGCAAAATATTATGAGATAAAAACACAAATATGCCGAGAAATGGCTCTGGTGGTGGTGCTGCGCCAGCCCGGGGCAGCGCTTTGGGGCTTGCGGTGACTCCCAGGGGTGCTCAGGAAGCTGTAGAGAGAGGTGAGTCCCAGAGAGACACCTCCGTGAGCATCGAGGCGACACTCTCTGTCCCAAAGCCAGGCCGCGCCAGCCAACCAGGAAGGAGGAAGCAGAAGAAGGGAAAGGGGGACGGAAGCAAGCAGACACCACGTGCCCAGCTGGGATGGAGATGTGGCCTGAGTCGGGCCCCTGCCTGGTCCCCCGCCACCCACTTCCCGCCAGGGCTTGGCCGCCCTGAGGACCCGAATTTCTCTTCAGTGATCACTGATGAATTTCTAACCTGTCACCTGCATTCTTCAATTGACACTGGACTGAATATACATATAACGTATATTCAGTATAATGTCTAATGTATTCAGTAGCACTGTAGCACTGTCCTCCCACTGTTCGTTGATTTGCTCGAGCGAACCCAGTAACATCTCCATTGTGAGACTTGTTGTTACTGTTTTTGGCATATATCGAATACATCACAGGTAGCTTGCCCTATGGGCAAGATACTCTTGGTAGCTTGCCGGGATCTCCCTGAGAGGGGCGGAGGAATCGAACCTGGGCCGACTGGGTCGGCTGCATGCAAGGCAAATGCCTTACCCGCTGTGCTATTGCTCCAGCTCCAATTCAGTATATTGTATAATTATATGAATTCAGTGTAATGTATAATTATAATATATAATTTAATACATATAATGCTTTTCTATAAAATATAAATTCAGTATAATTTATAATTACAATGTATAATTTAATATGTGTAATGTTTTCTGCCATGACAAACTTCTAGAAGAGGAAAACAGCTCTGAACTCATGTTGGGGAATAATAAAGACCCTAACTTGCTGCACGATCAGCTCTGGAAGAACTTCCTACTGAACGGCGTCACGTGCTTCAGTCAGGATCTGTAAAATTCACACTCTCGGGTGGGAATCTCTCTATGCCTGCCAAGCTCAGAGCAAAGGCTGAGAGTGAAGCAGATAAAGCATTTCTCACTGACCCTTAATAGCCGAGCCCGAGGCAAAAAAATAAATATTCAAAATGCCAAATGAGAGCGTTCCATATGCCAAAGTCTAGGGCCTTGGGCACAGATGTATATGTGGTCTGAAAAAATTTATGGATATGATAAAACTGTACATTAAAAAATTTCAAATTCCCCAAGCTGACATGCCCTCAGAACCAATTTCAATTCAAGCAGCTCACAGGATTTACAAGGCAATATGCTCGGAAGACAGTTTCCCCAGCGTCTCACACACACACACCTGTGGGAGGGCCCCGTAGTTCCAGATGTAGCCCTTGTGGGGGAAGACATTGGCCACGAAGCGCAGCCGCCCGCGCTTCACGTCCTGCTTGATGGGGTTCAGAGGCTCCTTCGTGGCGATCTACACGGTCGCGGGAGGAAGGGGAAGAGCCGTTAGTCCTGTGTTCAGACTGGACTTTAAAACTGCTCTTCTCGGACCAAATATTCAAACCCGACTCCCCAACAGAGGCTCCTTAAATGTAGTTTTGTGTTTATTTTTATTACCGTAGCACTGTCGTCCCATTGTTCACTGATTTGTTCGAACGGGCACCAGTAACGTCTCCATTGTGAGACTTGTTGTTACTGTTTTTGGCATATAGAATACGCCACGGGGAGCTTGCCAGGCTCTGCTGTGCAGGTGGGATACTCTCGGTAGCTTGCCGGGCTCTCCGAGAAGGGTGGAGGATTCGAACCCGGGTCGGCTACGTGCAAGGCAAATGCCCTACCCGCTGTACTATCGCTCCAGCCCCCTCTATTATATTTTTATATTTTTATTACTAATTTACAAAATCATGCAAGGAGCATTTTGGAAAGGCCCCCCAGAGGGCCAGGTTATCAGCCTGGGACCCACTGCATCTGACGCAATAACAAAACCATCCAAATAGCAGAGGATAAAGAGAAATCAACTTGTTTTTTTGGTTACTAATTCTGGGCATTTTACCATCGACCTATACGTCAATACAATTAACAAGGATTTTCACCAAGATACCTCATTTCAAAGTTGCCTTTCCACTGACCATGTGTACACTGTCATGCAAAAGGAAAAAAAAAGATGCCTTCCCAGAGTGGGTGAAAGCGACACCCGCGAGGGACAGGAGCGCAGCACAGCGGGCAGGCCACTTACCATGCGTGGCGCCGCCAATCCAGATGTGACCCCTGGTACCCCACAGGGTCCCCCAACCTGCCAGGAGTCACCCCTGAGCACAGGGTCAGGAGCAAGTCCTGAGCGCCACCAGGTGTGGCCTCAACCAAAACAAACAAATGAATAAAAAAACACCCAAAAAACAACAACAAAACGCCAGAGCAGCTCAAATCAGGCAGAATCTTTGCCCATCCCTGAGGGGGGGAGGGCTAAATGAGATGCGAGAGAAGCAGCACCCAGCACCGCACTCTCCCACTGAAACCTGATGGCACGCTGGCCCTCAGAAGCCCCCGCTGCTCAGACACCAGGCAGTGCGCAGAGCCCAGCACCTGAACCAGGCATCGCCCCACACCCCAGACGGCAGGGAGAGTGCCAGGAGCTACACAGGGGCCACAGACCAAACCCGAGTCGAGGCTGTAACTGCCTTACGGTCGCCAAAAGTGGATCCATATAAACATGTGGTGGCGGAGATGGGCGGGTGGGGGCCTGCGGGCCACTCTCAGCAGTGCTCAAGAGTCACTCCTGACGGTGCTTGGGGGTGTTGGGGATCGAACCCTGGTTGGCTGCGTGCCAGGCAAAGGCCCTCCCTGCTGTACTATCTCTCCTGCCCCAAATTCTGAAAGGCAACAGGGGAGCTCTTGCCGGGTCCATGTCCACATGCCCGCCTGGCCTGGCCCAGGCCCTGAGCTCCTCCCAGTCCCCAGCCCCACGCGGTATCATCCCCTGTCCCCCTTAAAGCTCCCCCCCACGCCCACCCCGCACCACCAGGCGTGGCCTCCAAGCCATAGGAAAAACTATACCTTGGAGTCTATTTTGGCAATATTCCCAATAAACGCCACTCCCAAGGGGCATTTACATACATATGAATGATAAACTAGACAGCGAAAAGTAGAGAACTTTTTCTGGCTTAATACTCAGGGCTGGTGTGCTAGTATGGCTTTGCCTGCAGGTTCAATCCTGGCACTCCGGGAGCGACCCCCGAGGACAGAGCAAAGGGGAGGCCCCGAGCACTGCCAATGTGGCCCCAGAACTGAGAAAAAAAAGTGTCATATTCAGCACTAATATTTTGCTTTAGTGAGTGTCAAATGAAATTCCCAAGAATATTTTCATTACATAAAAGTTTTCCAGTCACTCCAAACTGCACACCCTGTGGGGGGAACAGGAGACAGAGACTTTGATGGGGCCTCCCCCCGCTGACCCCGACAGGAGCAGGGCAGAGCCATACCTCCATCTTAGCGTTGGTCCACCGAGGCACTTCTACAATCATATGGAACAAATTCTGCAGGAGGGAGGGAAGGAAGGAGGGAGGGAGGGAGGGAGGGAAGGAGGGGGGGAGGGGGGGAGAGGGAGAGAGAGAGAGAGAGAGAGACAGAGACAGAGAGACAGAGAGACAGAGGTTAAACCTTTGAACCTATCCCCAGTATTTATCATCCCTCTTCTAAGGAACTGCCTTAGTTTTTTTCCCGTCTCCCTGGCACATGTGCCAATGCCCGGGGTTCCTCCAGACGTGACCACGGAGGTCGTCTGCCATGCAGTCCAGCCAGCCCATTTCCCGAAGGCTTCACTGCAGTGACCAGCAACAGGGAGTCAGGAAGCGAGTTCCAACCCTTGTTTCCAGGTGAGACTGAGGTGGGACCCGGCTCTGACTCCTGTGGTCTGGACGGCGGGAGCCTCTCGGGCCCATGACCCACCCGCCGAGACTGTCACCAAGATCAGGTGCGTAACTCAGTGAGAACACACAGGCAGTTGTCCAGTGAAATATCTTCCCAACCTTTTTTTTTTTCTTTCCCTTTTTGGGTCACATCTGGCGATGCACAGAGGTTACTCCTGGCTCTGCGCTCAGGAATTACTCCTGGTGGTTCTCCAGGGACCATATGGGATGCCGGGGATCGAACCCAGGCCAGCCGCGTGCAAGGCAAACACCCTGCCCGCTGTGCTCTTGCTCCAGCCCCTTCCTGATCATTTTTAATACTTATATTTTGTATTAATAATACAGAATATTTTTCATACATTTAGTACTTAAGTCCAGCTTATCACAAACAGAACGTTGATAAAAGGCTATTGGTACAGGGTGTGGGCTGCCCACAGGCTCGGGCCGAGGGAGGCTCCACCACGCCATGAGCTACGGCTGCCAGGGAGCCGCCGAGTGACCTCCTGGCTTTTGGAGAGGGTCATGCTCTGAAGGACAGTCGCCAGCCCATGACAGATGCTGGTCCTTGCAGTATCCACGGTGAGGAGAGAGGCCCAGGGAGGGGCGTGTCCCCCACTCACTCTGCCTGGACATGGGCCACTCACAGTGGAGGCTGGTCAGAGAAGGGTACGCGGGGCCAGGCTCCACTCTGGTGCCACGGAGACCCCCCAGGGGCCAGGCTCTCTCCTGGGGCCGAGGCATCCCCGAACCAGAGCCTGGCGGCACACGGCCACAGGGCCCAGAGCACTGGGAGCTGTGACGGGCTGGGGCGTCTTGTTTCTCCCAAAGGTCCCGGGGCGGCAGCTAAGGGGATGATGGAGGCAGACATATGACAACCCAAGGGAGGCCCCGGCCAGGCCATCCCCACTCCCCCGGGCAGGGGTCTCCCCACACACATGAGCCTGGGGCTCGGCCAGGAGGCCAGCGGGCTGCAGAGCATCAGGGCTGGGGGCACGGCCAGTGGACAAGACAAGGCCATGACCCAGGGGTTGGCAGGTGGGGGGGGGGGCGCAATCTGGGTCAGGCCCGAGGGTATCCACAGGATCCAAGCAGAAGGGAGGGAGAGGCTGGCAGCAGGAGGGGACCGGACAATCCAGGGGGCGAGTCCCAGCCAGGCAGACCTCACTTGCTGGGGACATCCAGCATTTCCCTGCTGTCCTTCACCACTGGCTGCTGATCAAGGTCACACCCACCTCTCGGCCCCTGACCTGCTCTGTAAACAGCAGCTGTTGCCCACTAGTGAGGACTAAAACCCAACAATATGTCAAAATGTACCGAAATGTATCAGGGATAAAGACCCCACAGTTAAAAGGAACAGAAATCCAATCTCACTTAGAGATGCCAGGGCACTGGTAACCCTCAGTTCTCTCCTTTCTTCTCCTCCTTCTCTTCGGGTTTTTATTCAAGAAATCAAAAGGAAAATCTAGGAAGCGAAGAGAAAGCAGCCGGTATGCCTGACGCTGGGGGGGGGGGGGGGGGGGGGCGGAAGGAATCAGACCCACAGAACCCATCCTTGCGTCCTGCCAGCTTCTAAGGCACCGAGCAGGCAGGTGGGACACAGCAAACCCAGCAGCCCGGCCGTGGACGCGGTCAGCAGTGGGCAGGGGATGCCGGCGAGTCGGGGCCTGTGAGGAGCCCTAAGGAGTTCAGGTGACACGGGGCGGTGGGACGGGAGCTGAGAAGCGTGAGGACCACCATAAACAGTTTTCCGAGAAAATGCCCAGAAGGCCGGGGTGCAGGAGCCTGGGATATGCCGCGGCCACCACCACGCCCAGTGCAGGCTGCTTGCCCACGCCTCGCTCTGGCCCTCCTGCCGGACACGGTGCCAGGCGTCCACGTGCCCGGCTCATGGCAGCTGATGCAGTTCTAATTAGAAATGAATTTCAATTAATCTGTCCTTACAAAAAACAGCTTCTGTTTTCATGCGAGATCGCACTCTGGCTTACAGAGGCCTGGACACAGGCCAAGTGCTGGCCAGCACATGCCTGGACGCCGAGGGCAGCACGTGCCTCTGACCCAGGGCTCTTGTCCCCAGCGGCTTCTGACAGCCCAAGGACCCGTGACATGTGCGCAGGACAGGCAAACATTGGGCAGGAGGCTGGCGACTGGTGTGGCCCCTGAGGGAAAGGGGGAGAATCATTTCTAACACGAGCTCTTCTCTGTGCCTGAGGAGCAGGCTGGGTCGGGGGACACTGGGGCTGTGGGGCAAGGACGGTCACACTGGGGCAGCCAGAACGCTGAGTGCTCCAGACAATTGCAGTGTGCACGAGCATCTGAAATAAAAACTAATTAAAAGAAAAATCTGTTCCTGAGGCCGGAGAGAGAGAGCACTGCAGGGAAGGCACCGGCCATGCACACAGCCGAGCTGAGTCCAACCCCAGCATTCCGGCTGGTCCCACGAGCCCAGCAGGAGTGAGTCCAAGATTACAGCAGGAGTGAGCCCCAAACTCACAGTAGGAGTGAACCCCAGGCTTACAGCAGAAGCGAACCCCAGGCTTACAGCAGGAGTGACCCCGAGCTTACAGCAGGAGTTAGCCCCATGCTTATAGCCAGGAGTGAACCCCAAGCTTACAGCAGGAGTGAACCCCAAGCTTACAGCCAGAAGTGAACCCCAAGCTTATAGCAGGAGTGAACCCCAAACTTACAGCAGGAGTGAGCCCCGAGCTTACAGCAAGGAGTGAGCCCGAACTAAGAGCCAGGAGTGAACCCCAAGATGACAGCAGGAATGAACCCCAAGCTTATAGCCAGTAGTGAGCCCGCGCTTACAACAGGAATGAACCCTAAGCTTATAGCAGGAGTGAACCCCAAGCTTACAGCAGGAGTGAATCCGAACTTACAGCAGGAGGGAGCTCGAGTTTGCTGCCAGGAGGGAGCCCGAGCTTACAGCAGGAATGACCTTGAGCTTATAGCAGGAGTGAGCTCGGGCTTACAGCCAGGAGTGACCCCCAAACAAACAAGTCTCTTCCAGGGCGGGGTAGGGCGATGGTATGTACAGAGCCAAGTGTGTGCTGCCCCACTGAGCACTGCAGGGTCAGCCCAGAGTCGTCCAGGAGCCCGACCACCACTGGGTCTGAGGGCTCTGAATCCTCGGGTTCTCATGCAGAGCCACTGCTCCGGGCCACCGGACATCCCCAGGAATCCCCCAAAGAGGCACCGTGGACCAGGCACCTTCCACGATCCACTGGCTGGATGGACTCAGATTTCTAGATTTCTCCCTGGGGACGGTTCCCACGGCCCCAAGGCCAATTCACAGTGCCTGAGGCACATGCCCCCAACTGCCTGGTGCCCGGGGCACAGTGGCAGAGCCCAGCAGGCTGCCCTGGGCAGTCCCGACAGGGGCAGGTCAGGGCCACTGGCCACCCAGCTGAGGAAGATGAGAGGTGGCCGCACGCAGGCCGCAGGAAGGAAGTGGCACCCCCTATTCGGAAGCCGAGATCACAAGCCCTAATACTCGATGGGAGTCGGGGGCAGGGAAATGGGGGGAGCGGGACAGAGCTGGGGGGAGCTGTCAGCATGCGGGGCGAACATGGGCCCCGCCCTGACTCGTGGTGGGCTCCAAACATGTCCATGTGGTTCTGGCCCTAGTGGGGCACCTCGTGGCCCCCGCAGGCCCCAGAGAACAGAGCCTGCGCCCGCCTCCCCGCCTCTCTGAACCTTTCCGGCCACAGACAAGCCGACTCAGCAGTCCTTTCACTTCTCTACCAGGAACAACTCGCTACAGAAACATTCAATTTAGGGGCTGGAGCGACAGCATAGCGGGGAGGGCTTTTGCCTTGCACACGGCCGACCTGGGTTCGATCCCCAGCATCCCATATGGTCCCCTGAGCACTGCCAGGAGTGATTCCTGAGTGCAGAGCCAGGAGGAACCCCTGAGCATTGCCGGATGTGACTCCCCCGCCCCCCCCCCAAAAATGAATCCAAGTCTATTTCCTGCCTCTGGTTCTCCATGTACAACAGGAGGTGGTAAGGAGTCAGCTCCACACCAGAGAGAACAGCAGAGGCTAGCAGATGCGGAGGGAGGGCGGGGACATGGGAAGGCAGACACAGGCCATGCGTGTTCACTGCAGGAAGCACAGCAGGAGCTGAAGAGAAGCCGGGATGCAGCTGCCAGAATGCACAGAAAGACTCTGCACGAGGGAAAAGCTGAGAAGCAGTTCGCACCGTGCAAGGACTGTCTCACAGACATTAGCTGTGTGGGGCCACGGGGCTGTGGGTACCTCATGGGCATCGCTCCGGGCTCTCTTGGCGGGAAGGCCGTTCCCCTGGAACAGAGAGAGGGTGTTCACGGACGGGCTCTGACATGGGTGAAAGCAGGGAAAGGCACCCGCTCTGGGCCCTCTCCCAGCTCCCAGCTTTGGCCAGCGACCCCGCTGCCTGACTGGCAGGCGGGGAAGCCCAGCCCGGTCCTCTCCATACTGAGACAAGGCTTGGGAACACAACCACAGGCCCCAGGGCTCGGCCACCTCGTCTGCGAGCCCAGGTTCACTGGGGTGCAGTGACTGCGTCTCCTTTGGACACACGACACAGGGGGCCGGGAGAGGGGTGTGGCCCCGCAAGGGCCCAGGGTCAGTAGGAAGGGGACGCCCGCCTGGACGCCAGCACTGCAGACCCCTCCCAGCACAGTGAGACCTGCCCACGGCTCTGCTTGATGCCCAGGCTCACAGGCCCACCCTTGGGGAAGGGGCCCAGAATGTTCTCCCACAACACGATTCTCTTGTCGCTGTGTTTGGGCCACACCGGTGGTGCTCGGGGCTCACTCCTGGCTCTGTGGCCAGGGCTCCCCTGAGAGGGGGCTGGGGACTGAACCCCGCCGGGCTTCTGGACACAAACCAGCCCCAGCCAGGGCCTGGTCTGCCACGCATGCCCACTGCTCTCATGGCTCAATGATGAGCCGCATGGGATACCTTAGCACACAGAGGTGTGCGGCGCCCCCACCGTCAGCACCCCCAGACTCCCCTGCTCTTCTGCCCTGCTGGTCCGAGTTTCCACACAGAACATGACCAGACTGCTGTGTGCCGATCACCAGCCTCCACCAACCATCGCCCCGACTCGCCACTGTCCCCTCGGCCCCAAACCGGTACGTGACGATGATCCAAGAACACACGAGCGCACACACCTCTGGGAGATGGAGGCGTGACCCATCACGGGAGCACAACACACACACAAAGACGAACACACACATATACATACAAGCACGCACATAGACAAACACACACATGTACACATGCACACACACACACATACACATGCACACGTGCACGCACACACATACACATGCACACACAAATGCATACACACATGCATGCACACGTGTACACACACAAGCGCACATACATGAACACATGTGCACATACACAGACATGAACACACATGTGCACACGTACAGACTGCGTGCACATAGCCTCTCTGCCTCTCTGAGACTCACAGTAGGGACGAACCCACGGCTGGGCACTCAGGCAGGAAAGCCCAGGCCGGCCACAGACGACCCAGCATGTGAAGGGCAGCGGGCTCAAGGCTCAGCAGGTCCTGGGGGCTGGGAGCCCGATGTGCCCACCAAGAACAAGTCCTTCAAGGGACGTGACTCCAGGACAAGTGTGCTGGCACCGGAAGAGCAGGTCCTGGGGGCTGGGAGCCCGACGTGCCCACCAAGAACAAGACCTTCAAGGGATGTGACTCCAGGACAAGTGTGCTGGCATCGGAAGCAGGAAGCAGGTCCTGCAAGCTCAGGGCCCCATGGTGCTAGAAAGCAGCTCCAGGGGCAGCCGGCCACTGACCCACCCTGTGTCCGTTCACGGGCAGGGTAGTGAGCCAGCGGCCTGCTCTGGGTCCCATGGAGGCTGGGCCGGGCCACCTGTTGCCACCCCAGAGTCCTGCTCACGTCGTGACCCCCTTCGCGCCCCCTGCGGTGGCAACTGCCTACCCGGGCCTGTGCCCGAGACCCCCCTTCCTGCCTCCTCCCCACGCCTGTCCGGGAGCTACTGATGGCCCTGAGCCCAGTGCCAGGTTCAGCCAAGAGGCGGTAAGACCCACGGCCTTCGAGGGTCCACTTGTGGCTCTGACCGGAGGACGGTCTCGGGCGGTGGGGCAGGGCACGTGTGACACTGTGGGTCCAGCCTCAGCACCACAGTATCAAGGACATCTGAGTCCCCCGGGCCCAGGCAGCCCCACGGGGGCCTAAGGTGAGTCCAGACTCGAGACTTTCCCACGAAGCTCATGCCACGTTCCCACAAGGCTGCCGGGCACCTGCACCCGTGTGCTGATTCCCAAGGAGACTTCAGCTCCTGCTCCAGCGACTGTGCTCCCTGCTCCCAGGCACTTCCGTGAGGAAGCTTTGAGAAGATTCCAGAAGCCATTTAACAGTGACCCAGGGCGTGACCTTTTTCTCCAGCCCCCCAACCAGCTGTCACATACCTCTGCAGAGTCACCCGCCTTCAGAGGAATGTCGTGGAAGGGGGAAATGTAGTGGCCGGAAGTGTTCTCTGCAGAAGGAAAAACAGAATTCAGGCCAGAGACTCCTGGGCTTGGGAGACCAACATGTCAGCTGGACACATTTATTCAAAAGCAGCTTTTTTAAAAAAGGTATTTATTTGTTTAGTCTTTTGGGGCCACGCCGGGTTATGCTCAGGGGTTACTCCTGGCTCTGCTCAGGAATCACTCCTGGCGGTGCTCAGGGGACCATACGGAATGCTGGGTATTGAACCCGGGTCGGCCACATGCAAGGCAAATGCCTTATCCACTGTGCTATCACTCCAGGCCCTCAAAAGCAACTAAAGCAACTAAAGCAACCCAAGTCAGCTTCATCTGATGATCCAAGACAAACATTCGCCAACCCCCGGAGGCGTAGCCGAGGCTGAGCAGAGAAAGTGCACACCACAACAGTATCCCCACCAGGAGTGCTGGCTGCTAGGGCGGGAAGCAGGAGCAGCCCGAAGGGGTCCAGAGCAGTACTGGACTGGACCAGAACCCAAAAGGCGACACTGAGACACACAAGCCTGAACTGAAGCACCCAGATGCCTGGATAAGTCCAGCTTCTTAAACTAGTGTGTGTGTGTGTGTGTGTGTGTGTGTGTGTGTGTGCGTGTTGGTGGGAGGCGGGGAGGAGGGTGTCACAAAAAAAGTTTTAAAAATTTGCTTTAAAACAAATTTATGCTTTCTTCTTAATAAGTTTGCAAGCCTCTCTCTCATATCTATAGAGCTGGGGTCATGCAAGAGTTTTCAGACAAAAAGGGGGTGTGAGTGGGAGGCTGGGAGCAGGTGGGGGGAAAGGCCAGTCACCCCCACCAAACCCCACCCAGGCCCAGAAGCCCCCATGGGGGAACTCAGGCACTGGGTCCAAGACGGCCCCTCCAGTGCCTGGCAGTCCAGAGCAGCGACTGGCAGGGGCAGTCCCTGAGACAGGACCCTCTGCCCTGTGGCCCTGTCCCCCCACCCCAGCCCCACTCTGCAGAGGCCCCCAGGGCCCCTGACTGGCGCCTGGAGGGGCCCACAGCCATGCCCCAAGGAACCGTGGTCCGTGGACAGCTGTCTCTTCCTCCGTCCACCCAGGGTCAGCCAGGGGTGAGCCCTGGTCACAGAGCCAAGAGTAGCCCCCGGTACTCCCAAGAGAAGAACACAGGAGTCCGTACTGCCCAGTGGGGATCTGGGCCACTCCTGGCCCTGCACTCAGGGGTTACTCCTGGTGGCACTTGGGGGTCACACCAGGCTGGCAAGCACCCGACCCACTGTGCCACCCTGACCCTCCGTGCCATCTGATGAGATCTGACCACCCAGCCCAGCCGCCAGGTGCACCTGCCTGGGACCCCTTCCTCAGGCTCCAGCCCAATACAGCCAGGAGCACCCGCCCAGGACCACTCCCTGGGCCTCTCCTCTGCCTGTTTCTGTCTCTGCCCTGCCCCTCCCCTGCCATTGCTCCGATAGTCTCTGCGACCTCAGGGCGCCCGTCCAGCTTTTCAGAATCTGGCTTCTCCAGACCAGCGGGAGAGCACGGGGGCCAGGGGGCTTGTCCGACCGTGGTTCAGTGCCCAGCACCCCGTGTGTTCCTCTAAGCACCCCCAGGAGAGACCCCCGAGCACAGACTCAGGAGTAAGTCCTGAGCAAGGCCACCAGGTGTGGCCTGGGGCTGGCCAGTACTTCTGTGTCCTGCCTCCTGCTCAGTACATCCGCCACGGCTCCCCGTAGCACTGTTTGTGCTCCCGGAACCCTTAGCCAGGGGCCGGGTCGGACCTGGGCTGGCCCCCACGAGCGTGTCTGGGGGAGCTGTAGGCAAGGGCTTCCTCAGCACCCCCAACAGGGATGCAGAGAAGGGGAGGGGGTGGTCTTAAAAAAAACATGTAAATTTGGTAAAACAACACACATATCAGAGAACAGTCGGCTGTAGGTGAGTGAGCTTTGCCCCTCAGCTGCCCCTCGGGATGTTCTCTGTCGAAGAGCCACAAGGCCTCTTCCCGGCCAGAGAAAAGCAGCAAGAATTACCTGTTCTTTCTACACAAGCCACAGGCCCACCTCATACCGACAAAACTCCCAAGGGTGCAAAGCAGTTTCTCCCCACTCCCTGCAGAAGTTAAAGTCTGCAATAGTGCATTTTCCAATCAGTGATGAAACAGAGGAGAGCTGTTTCATCTCTCTATCCCGGTGTCCTGCCAACAAGCCGAGGGAAACAGCCCCGAGGACACTGGCCTGGCACACAACTGAGCAGGTTCCACCCTGGACACCCAACCTGGTCCCCAGAGCCGGCAGGAGGGGCCTGTGAGTGCAGAGCCAGGAAGAAAGCAAGCGTGCAGAATCCGGCGAGAACTCAACGTAGTGATACCACGGTCCACTCTCCCACGGGCCTTGCTGGTGGTCTTAAATTGCTTTTTGGGGGGGCTACTATTTGGTGTTGGGAGTCATTCCCGGAAGAGCTCAGGGGCCACGCTGCCCTAGCGGCCAGGGTAGGGCCGGCCCTGCCCCATCATCTTGCCGCGGCCATGGACAGGACTGACCCTTCCCGGGCACTCCCAGGGAACCCCGAGCCCGAGATGACAGGGACTCCGGGCTTCTGACGTGGGCAGCCAGTGACCCTGGCCGTGACCCTCCACATGGGCTACGGAGCGGGTCGCTGACCCCGAGTTCCTACAAGCCTCACCTCCCGACCCTGTCCACGCTCTGAAGCAGGAGGGCCCAACCCAGGCTCTTCCTGAAGCTGCAGCATTGACGGGCTGGGGGTCCCCGGGCCGGCTCTGACTTGGGGGTGTGGACACGGGGCTGTCCTTACTAGCTACAGCGGCGACGCGGGTCCAGGCCCACTGGCTGCCCCCGTCTGGGCCCCGGGAAGCCCAGAACCCGGACCCCCATCTCCTGGCCAGAGGTCCCTGGTGGCCCTGGGGGAGGGGCTCTCGGCCCCCGCCGGGCCCAGCAGCGCAAGACGCGCCGGCTAAACTCGGACACGGGCCTGCGCGCCGCCCGCCGGCCCCGAGGGCCCTTCCGGTCAGAGCGTCCCCCGCTGACGCCTCCTCCGGGCAGGGCCGGGCGCGGAAACGCGCCGCTGGGTGGATGCCGCTGGACGCGCCGCTCCGCCCCCACGGGACCGACCCTCCCGGGACCCCGCAGCTCCGCCCCCGCGGGACCGACTCTCCCAGGGACCCCGCAGGCTCCGCCCGGGCAGGACCGACCCTCCCGGGGAACCCGCAGCTCCGCCCGTCCCCGCGGTCCCGACCCCACCGGGACCGACCCTCCCGGGACCCCGCAGGCTCCGCCCCCGCAGGACTAAACCTCCCCGGGACTCTCGCAGCTCCGCCCCGCGGGCCCGACCCTCCCCGGGACCCTGCATGCTCCGCCCGGCCCCGCGAGACCGACCTTCCCCGGGACCCCGCAGGCTCCGCCCCCGCGGGATCGACCCTCCCCGGCCGCCCGGACCCCGCAGGCTCCGCCCGCCCGGCGCGTCCGCGGCCCCGGTCACGGCCCGAGGGGCACCCGCCGCCCCCCGTTGCTGCGTGACGGCGCCCCCGAGGCGCAGGCCCGGGCAGGGGCGCGGGGCGGCGGGCACGGGCGGGCGGGCGCCCGGTACTCACTGAAGAAGAGGCGGAAGTCGGCCGAGCGCGCCGGGCCGCGCTGCTCCGTGCGGTACTGGGCCATGGCGCGGCGCGCGGGCCCGGCGCCCGCCCCCCGCCCCGCGCCGGGGACCCCCGAGCGCCAGCCCCGGGCCGCGCGCACCAGCGGCAGCAGCGGCAGCAGCGCGCGCATGGCAGCCCCGACTCGGCCCGCGCGCGCGCGCCCCCTGCCGACCAGACCCGGCCCCGCACCCCGGCCCGCGCGCGCGCCCCCTGCCGAGCAGACCCCGCCCCGCACCCGGTCCGCGCGCGCACCTCTTGCCGCCCGGCCCCGCACCCCGGGAGCTCGCGCGCGCTCGCGCCCCCTGCCGCCCGCTCTCGGCCCTGCACCCACGGAGTCCGCGCCCCCCCCTCCCCCGGCCCGCACGCGCGCACCCCCTGCAGCCCGCTCCCGGCCCTGCAACCTCAGCGCCCCCTGCCGCCCAGCCCCTGCCCCGCACCCCAGCCTGCACTCGGGTGTACCCCCTGCTAACCACACCTGGCCCTGTATCCTGGCCCGCGCGCGCGCACGCCGCCCCCACTGCCTGGCCTCGCACTCCAGCTCGCACGCCCGCGCACCCTGGTGTCCGCACCTGGCCCTGCATCCCCAGCGCCCCCTGCCGCTCGCCCCCGGTCCTGCACCCCCAACGCTCAGAGCTCGGGGACCCCCTGGGGTGTGGGGCTCGAACCCCGGTCGGCCACGTGCCAGTCTGGCGCCCCGCCCGCCCTCTGGGGCCCCTTTCATCCCGGCGGGCAGCGGGACGGGGTCACCCGCAGGCTGGACACCCGGTGCCGTGGGCTGGCCCCTGCACCCACCCCGGCTGTCTCTTGGCCTGCACAGACCTCTGCTCCAGGCCTGTACCACAGTGCTCCTTCCTTGGAGATGCCGCTGGGCACCCAGCTCTCTCCTTGGCAGGGAATTTTCCAGAAGCCCCTGGACACGTGCACTGGGCACACCCGGCCCTGTTCCTGCATCCAGAGGCACCCCTGGACAGGAGGGCAGGGGGCTTCTCCAGGGACAGAGTGGCCAGCCTCAGAAACTTAGAAGTTTCTGCAAAAGCTAGGCAAAATGGTCGTCCGTACAAGGCCAGGTCTTCACGGATAATCTGATCTTTTTAAGTGGCTGAAATTAAAATAAAGTTGGCTTATAAATGAAATTCTACTAAGCACAGTGAACACGTGTTCAAGAAAAATCCAACTCCAACTTCATAGTCTGGCTCTTGCCAAGACTTGATGTAGACTGTGTTGACTGATTTCTAAGTCACAATGATGGGTCTGAAGCTCGTGGCAGCCACTTGGCCTTTCTCTCGTTCATGGCTATAATCTACGTTCCTAAGTATTAATACCAGCAGGATACACGTGGTTTTTAGAAATTCAAGAAATACTACAATGGTTAAGGGTCTTGCCTTGCAAGCAAGCAGCTGTTCCTGGTTTGATATTTGGTACCATGCAGGGTCCCCTTCACCCCACCAGGAGTGACCCCTGAGCGCAGAGCCAGGAGTAAGCCTTGAGCACCATTGGGTGTGGCCAAAAGCAAACAAAAAGTTGGTTGCCACAAATCTTTCTATTCTCAGCTACTTGCAAGTGAAAAGGTTTCCATGATGGCTCTGAGCCTGTCTAGAGATGACCCCTGGATCTGGTGGTCAGGATGCTAGTCAGCATAAATGTCTGGAGGCAGAGGGGACATGACTCTGCCATAAGACGGAACCAAGAGATTGTCATTGCTGAGGTCACCTTCATGGTTCAGCGTGGCTGCCCCAGCTCCAGCCATCATGTCTCCACCTTTGCCCACAAGGAAGAAGAAACAGCGGGACATGGCCATTCCCTTAAGAACACATCTCAGAAGCCGCTAACCCCACTTGCAGATCACTGAAGGGTACTTAAGTCTGCTGGCCACAACAAATGATAAATTAGCAACCATTTAGAGATGCCGATGGTGGGAATCGCCCCAGGTAGTTAGGACCCACACTCAGCATTTCTTCACTACAGAAGAAAGGGGAGCTGAGGAATGGGTTAGAACCAGAAGTTCGCTGCAGGTATCAATTCCTTTCCCTTGGAAAGAAACCCATCATTTGAAGAATTTGTGTGAACTTGACGTGGTTCTACCCTGGCTATGATCGGGGTTCATCTCCTCCCTGCCTCTCTTGGGTATGTGGATTCTTTTTGCATCTCCAATTATTCCAGGGTATAGAAATTGGGGTCTATGCTAGTTACAGGAAGGATGCTGTGACTAACCAGTTAGCACTAGGAGGAATCGAAGACCTGAAAATGTTTCTGTCAAGTGGAAGTTTGGGAGATGTCCCCGTGACCAGGCTGAACTGTAAGGCAGCTTTCCCCGCAGAAAGGAGGGCTCTGTCTTTGGTGCATCTATCACAGAAGCTGCATGATTTTATTTTTTCCTTATGCGAGCAAAAAAAGTTTAATTGTTCTATTAACCTTTGAAGATCAGATGTTTCACCCAGACAAAATTCTTCTGAGACAAGATTGTGGGCTAATTTCTGATGATCTATAGATTCTTAGGATAAGACCACACATTCCAGGTGTCCTATTTTAGATATATTATTGCTTCATGGCATTAAAATGACGACTATCTTTAGGAAATTGAGAAGAAAATACTTTTCCCCAGAGAATTCTTGCTGGGATTAACCCCATTCTCTGTCCCTGCCATCTGTAATTATCCACTGGAGGTTCCAGGAATAGTTCTGAAGATCCCTTGCCAATAGCTTGCGTTAAATCTGACAAACATATCTTATCCATAACTGCCAACAACTTATGTGCATCCTGACTTAAAGAGACCAATAACAATATTAAGCATTTTAGGATATGAAACAGTTGCCTATAATGAAATATTGACAACAACTTGCTATCTTATAAATCCACATTTTAAAGTGTTATTTAGTTTATCACGTGTTCATAGATAAAACAAATTTACTAATTTAGTTTCTAATTGTTAATTTCTAATTATTACTTACACGATCAGTCATTCCCTACAACTTACTGAAAGCTAATGATCATTATTAGCGATATTAAATACTAATAATACAAAATAGTAATAGCTAACTTAGTTTCATTTCTTTACATTTTAAAATATCGGCTTCTGAAGGCAGTATTTATCCTGTTTAGTAGACCCATGGCAGGCAGTGCTGGGCTGGGGAGCAGGGGCCCCTTGCAGATGGGGGTCAGACTCAGGATCTCACACATGCAAGGCAGGCGCTCCATGGCCTGAGCTGTCTCCGGCCCTCGGGGGTCACTTTTAGTACCTAATACTCAGCTATTTGGAAATTAGATGCTGCATCTCCCCTCTGAAGTGTCTGCACCCATCAGGTGGCAAATTCAGGTCTCAGTTCTGGGAGTTCCCAGCTGGAGAGTCACAGCAAACGCCCCTGACACCTTTGAGGGCGGGCCCAGAGTCACAGGCCACAAGGCACACGGGGCAGGGACCTGATTCCATGGAACTGGCTTAGAGATCCCGCTGCCTGGCAACAGATAGAAAGTCGTGTTGGAGTTGGAGGAAGTGGCGTGACCCAGCATCCCGCTGAAGGGAATGATGGTGGAGTGAAAGCCTCGGCTCTCTCCAGCGACCCGCAGAGAGCTGAGGTCAGCCCACAGCATCAAGGGGCTGAACTTGCGTGGGATGCACTGAGTTTCGGTGAGACCTGGCGCTCCGTGGAAGGCACCAGGGGAAGCCCATTTACCTGCTGCCTCCCCGCATCTGAGGGCAGGCATGTGCGTGCTCCTGAGGTGTCCTGAGGTGTATATTCTGAGGTGTGTGTCCTGAGTTGCTGTGGGTGGGGACCAACCATGCAAGGCAGGGGAGGAAGCAGGGCCGGGCAGGACTGGGGCGCAGGCCAGGAATCTGGCCTCCTTCAGAAATCCACTGTGTCGGGAAACCTCAGTCGTGGGAGCTAAGATTAGGGGCTACTTAATACAGAAAAGACGGTTTTCCTATTTCAAAGGAGGAACTGTGTCACCAGCCATGCAGGTGGAGGGCGAGGCAGAGAAGCGCCAGCAGTCTGGGGAACAGCCCCCCACCAGGAGAATGTAGGCATGGGGTGGGGGAGGGGCGCAGGCACTGGGCTCTGCTCGGAGAAGTGTTGGATATGAACCCTAAGTGCTTTCCGCTTCATGAGTGAATTGCCCCTTTCCTCTGTAAGGAGCTTACAGTGCTCTTGCGAGCTCCCCGACTCCCTTCAGTTTATCTTTGACCTTCCTTTGAGCTTTACCTCTCATTGCTGCATTCCCTAGCTCAGTCCTGGTTACTAATCAGCCAAAACTTCGAGTGATTCTGGACTTTGTATTTGAAGTGAACGATTTGCTTTTCTATTTCCCCTTAGCCTTTTCATATCTTGCCATTGAGCAATGCTCTTGGCTTAAACACAGGAAGACCTTGAAGGCTGTGCTCCTAATATGTGGGAGTTGATTGACTCTGAAGTATGTCTACTCCTGGGCATCCGTCATAGTTACTTGGCTCAGGCTTCGGTTGCCGTAGTTCCCAACACCCCAAAGGGAGGTCCCGCCTTGGGACTGGGATGGACCCGGGGCGAGAGGGGAAGCTGACTCGGCATCAAAATGGGACAGTCTAGAATGCCTAAAAGCATGGTCTTGATGCAAACGGTTATGACTTAGTTCTTTAGTTCAGGCTGTCCGACAAAAGTAAGCACTCACTGTTAATGAAGCTACCGCATGCCAAGAAACACGAGCGCCAACACACTGAGCTACACACAGGAAGCAGTTCACAGGTGCACTGGAGCTCCCAACCACCCCAGAATCATTCCAGCATTCCTGGGGGCAAGCATTACCCGGTTTGGGAGAGTCAGCGTTCTGGCCACCCCAAAAGAAAATGTTACTTCCTAGGACCCCTTACATTATGTGGGTTTTGTGTGTGTGTGTGTGTGTGTGTTTCTTTTTGGGTCACACCCGGCAATGCACAGGGGTTACTCCTGGCTCATGCACTCAGGAATTACTCCTGGTGGTGCTCAGGGGATCATATGGAATGCTGGGAATCAAACCCATGTTGGTCACATGCAAGGCAAAAGCCCTACCCGCTGTGCTATCACTCCAGCCCACCACCCCCCTTGCAGTATGTATGTGTGTTCATGCTATTGAAGCCCACCAACAGGAGAACATTTAAGAATGTTCCTAAGAAACTGTAGTGCGC